CCTGCTTCGCATTCAGGAGGTTCCGGGTTCAAATCTTGGTCAAAAACACGACACTTCTTGTTTGGGTTTTCGTTGTCTTCCACAGTCTCTTCCGGTAAATGCTAGGATAGGACCTTAAATTAGGACATGACCCGTACCATCCATTAATTTCCTACGCATTAATCATCCTGCCATTCTCTGCTTTATAGCCTGAGTTATAAACAGCTTCGTTAAATAAAGAAATTTAACATTCATGTGTCCAGCATCTTGCAAGCTTGTAAACACTAGAAGACACCATAACTAAGTCCTTGGGGTAAATCCCACTAGGGTTTTATTTTTTATTATTGCATGAAATTGTAGATATGTTTGTGTTGTTATTATTGTTACTGAGCAGCAGTCTGCTTGAGAAGCTGATAGCTACTCACCTCCTGTTAAATTCACATTTTATGCATTCTGTAGGTTTATTACCATGCTCATGAGAACCTGCTACCTGGTTCTATCCTGAGCCAGATGAATTCAGTCCATGTCCTATCATCCTGTTTCAGTAAGATTTATTTTAATATTATCCTCTCATCTACACTACTCGAAGGTCTTCTGAGTTTGCTGTTCTTGTTAGACTATCCAACTAACATTTTTTCACATTCTGAAGATTCTCGTGCATTGTACAAGCAGTGCCCTGGAATTTAAAATCTGTACCAATGAATTAAGGTATTAAATATTTTAAATGTTATGTTTTCAGGAAGGAGACAAAAATTAGATATTTTTAACTGAATGGTAGAATGAAACATGTATTAAATGAAATTTAATTTAATGAATTATTTATGTCTATATTAGAAAGATGTACAAAATACTGAGTACAGGTTTTGTTACATCAGTGAGTATAGTACTGACAGACAGAATTATATTTTTTGAATTAATCTTGTTTCGTAGTGCAAAGAAGAAAACAAAACAAAGTTTTCTCTTCGAGAAGTGCAGTTCAGTTTAATGATGCTGAAGAAAGAACCAGTTGACCCAGAGGAGGTGAAAATTTCCCGTTTTGATACACAGTGCGACCGCGTAGAATGGTATATATGACACATCCATCTAACTGCTTCCCAAGGTAAGGTGTCAGCTGTGAACATTTATAAATAAGTTATCTTCACCTTTTACAATACTACATCCAGTTGGCCAATTACAGATATTATGAAACATCTTTCAAGGGATATTCCTAAGGAGTTTACCTCTGCTTGATATTTAAATATATTTTTATCCATCAGAATTCTTTCTTTCAATCTGTTCTTTATAATTTCATCTGTAACATTTTATAACAATTTGGACATGTAAGCTATTCATTTGTAAATAACTGATATAGTTTGATTACTCACAATATTTTTTTACAATAGTGACAGTGAGAAATTTTTAAATATTAACTGTGAACAAATATTAAAATTATCATAAAACTCTCTTTAATTTTTTGGTCACTCATTTGTTTCTTTACCTTGTGTTTGTGTTGAATTATTGATTTCTCCACCTGAAAAGGGAAATGATGGTGTTATTTACATCTATACCAAACAATACAAATTACATCTGTAAACAAAAATATGTTAATTAATTTATACTTAAACCATGTCAGAAGTTCAGAAAAATTTTACTTTAAGGATCAGAGTTGTGTGCGCGCGTGTGTTTAATGAATGTATGGGTCTTAACCAAATGTGATTATGTTTGGTCATTGGCAGTAGATATATAGAAGCATAAACATAACATTTTCTTGTATCATATTACTAATAAGCATACCTTGAATGTTGCTTCTGGATCCCATATTACGAAATCTGCATCCATCCCTTCTTTGAGTTGTCCTTTGGCATGATCCAGTCCACAGAGTTTGGACGGGTTGTGGCTCAAGAAGCGTGATACATCTGCTATTGAAAAACTTCGCTTCCTGGCTTCAGTCCAGAAAAGTGACAACCCTAATTACAAGATGGAAACATATTAGAGCTAGAAGGGGATTCTGTGTAATAGATACATGTTAAAATAATGATGAACACGGAAGAACCCATTCCCAGGATTTAGAGGTTATGCATATTATTAAGTTCTATTTTTTATCTGTTTGTCTTATATAAAACTTTGCGTATTGTGCATAAAATCAGTGTCTGTAGTTGACTGTGTCATACAGCTGTTTGTATATTTCAACTCAAGAACTACTGAACAGAATTTGATGGCATTTGGTAATGATGCTATTCCATTGGAGGCCACCCTACCTCACCCCAAAATTTTAGGTATTCTTCATTCTCTATAGTAAGTGAAGAACTCCTTATGGACCTACAAATACCACTCCATGTCCCATTTTGTATCTTAAAAAAGCCAAGCCAAATGAAATGGGTACGATATGTAATGTTTAATGGTCCATCCTCTTGAAAACCATGCTAAGTGTGTGGTTATGTTTCTTACTTGATTTATTTTCTGGCACGTATTTACGAATGTCATTGTACGTACCAAACTGGAGGGAGGATATTCCACCCCAGGCTGATAAAAAGTCACCTTCTCCTTCTTTCGTTTGTTTCAATTCTGGTGTGCATGGTGAGTGGTCAGATACCACCATGTCTAGCTCACCAGATACTAAAGCAGCCCATAGTCTTTCCTGGCATACACAAATAGAAACATATTAATGCGATCTGGGGTTTTCATTATGATGAAGATGTTTATGTTGGTCTTGTCGGTTGTAATGCTTTTTGAACTTTTAGGTAGATATCAAGAGTTTTGGGGGAACATAAATACCTCCATATCCAGGAAAATGTTCAAGTACAATTGGGATTAATTATCATATTACATTCATCTTCTCTTTCATTTACAAGTGAAGCTACATTAATCGGTCTGCTGATAAAATTGTTAAGTAACGTAAAAGTCTGGAGATTATGGACTCGTGTACTAATCATATAGTAGATGCTTTCGAAGAGGTTTCCTCACCAATGTTTTACATGCATTCCTTGTCTCTAACATCTTAGTCACATACTCGGCTCATCGTAACCTACTGGAGTTGCCTATTCTAACAATATTTTGTAACCTGTACAAGAAAACAGTGCTGTAATCATGCAAGTTCAGTCTTAACCTCACCCTGTTTTGGAGACTTCTAACGGGTGGACAGCATTTGTATTGCATGGCAGAATCTGGAATTGCTTCTGCGTTGAGTGTCAGGTAGTGATGACACGTCTCAACTGTGAGGTGAGCCCCACTGCTCTTAGCTGCCCTCACAAGTGGCAGTGCCTCTGCTGCTGATAGGTGAACAATATGGCACCTGACACTGAATCACAACATAACCAGTGGTTTTACATGCATCTGAATAACTTCAAAAGGAAAGTTTGTCTTCTTGTGCAATTGATAATTATTCATTTGCCTTTAAACTTAAAGTTTAAATACAGAGGTCAAAAACGTCTGTCTTCAGCGAAGTCAATGTAGTTCAGTTTTTCACATTATAATCTGTTAAGATCAATTTTTAGCCATATTTCCATTGACGTTATATGGCCCGAGCTACTGAAAAAGCATCATTAAATAAATTATAAATAAATAAATTAAGATATATTAAAAGTTTCAAAATAACTCCATGGAGGAGAGAGTCCTTCTTCAGGAGCCGATAGTATGATCAGATAGTCCAAGAATTTTCCTGCCTTTTATTGAACCAGAAGGTTTGTTACTGTGTTCACAAGAGCCCACCACTGGTCCCCATCCTGAGCGAGATCATCTTTATAATATTTCACAGAATGAAATTTGGAAAGTTTTTGCTTAGAATGAGTCTGCCTTCGGTTTATTGTAGATTGAAATGTTTACCTGTATTTTGAGCATAATTGTGTTATGAGTTGAATAGCGGCTACCTCCATCTTTGGTGGTCTTGATCTCAGGAACGTCTGATACTCAGAACGATTATCTGTAACAGTTATGTTGGCATTTTAAAGTTAATTTGTTAATGTAACTCTCTTATTAAAGTACTACTACTTGTGTAGTGTAATATCTGCCTTTTCATGGAGCTGTTATGCATCTCATTTATATGACAATTGTCTCTTATTAACGCGCCTTGTCTGTGGGTTTGTCCTGTTGCGTTGTTCCATATTTTATTGGCCTGTGTTCCATATTGAATGATCTTGGTTTGTACTATTCATGACAGTTTTTTTTTTGATCAGATAATTTGGGGAAAATAAGAGCATTTTGAATTTAGGTCTGCTAGTAAGCACTGACTCTGAAAATTGAAACGGAAATAGGAGGATAATTTTAAACTGAATTTTAAGTAAGTTTTATGATTTTTTTTTTTTAAATTAAACATCCTTGTAACCTTTGTGGAGTTTAAAACGTACCTGTAGATTTTATGTGTTCTTCCCCCAGATCACATTCTGCATGGAACTGAAACATTGAAACAGTTTCAGTGGAGAAAGGGGCTAAGTGTTTGGCGACAATTCCTCTGTGGACAGTAGCTCGCTCTATAAAGCTCACACTTCTTAAGACATTGTTCAGCACTTAAATATGAAATACATTTGCAACTACTTACTGCGAGGACAGAATTTGTTCCTTCTAACTCTTTTAGCGATGCTTCCACATCCTGTTTTGTCACGTTTGGAAATTCATCGACTCCACTGGGACACAGGAAGCATTTGAATCCCACCACTCCAGCTTTTACCATGTCCTTTAATTCTCTCTATAAAAATATGTGGAAGAGGCGAGTTAATTGTGATGCAGTTATTTTGATAGTTCCTAGCAGAGGAATGCATTTATTCATTAGTAGAGGTGACGGGAAGTTGCGTCAGCTCCTGAGCAGCGTGGCGTAGAAGGGCCATGCGTTTCTTATCTTTTGAAGCAGAAGTTCACCTAAATAACATTTAAGAATTCCGTCCATTTTATAAGAAAGTAACCTGTCTCCACCTCACTTAATGGTACCTGCACCTTGTCGTGGTGGTGGGGCTTGAGTACCTCAGTGACCCCAAGAGCTACTGGTAGGGCCTCCCTAGCCAGATTGGTCGAGGGGGAGAGGTCAGACCAAGACAGGTACCCTGGTCCTCCAGGTTGGGGGTTGGTCGCAAGGCTAACAACCTTGCACCGTAAAAAGGAAGACATTTTGAAACCTTGATTAAAGCCTCGGACAGACGGACCTAACAGAGGACCGAATGGAAGAGGAGAATTGAGGAGGCCGTGGACCGAATGCGGACCGGAGAGCCATAGAAGAAGAACCTGTCTCCATTGCAAAGATCATCTGGTTAATGCTGTTTCCAGAAATAGTCACTGTTTATTCTGAAATCTATAAATACAGAATTCGGAGTTATTGATTGTTAAAGCAAGTGGTACATAATATATACCACTGAACTCTAAAGGGTTAAAATTTTCATCTGTGTTTATTGGTTAGGTTGTTGATTTTGGTTCAGGGTTCTGAATATGATTACAGATAAATTGTCAAATTTTGAATAAATGTTTTATCTGGTAACTAAAGTAGACTGTGTGTGTGTGCATTAGATCCTTCGTTGGACAGTGTGTCGTTACCTGCTGGTTTGTCTTTTTCAAGTTGTGTAAATTTAATGATTCTAGCCGCGTTAAATATATCATTAAAATAACTCAGAAACTTTGGAAATGATATTCATATGTCTGTTTTATCACATTCCTTGTCAGTAAGTTGTTGAAGGTGTAAGAATCCTGTATTTTCTAAGCAGTTTACTTACTTTCTTTTATGACATTTTTTATAATTCAGTACATATTCTGCGCACAACCAACCTGATTGCCGGGTACAACTCCTCCCCAGAAAGCAACATCGACGTGCATTTTCCCTTCTGCTGCAATCATTTTGGTCTCTAAATTCTTTTTTGTAGTTGTGGGTGGGATGGAGTTTCTGCAAATACAATTTTTCCATTATAAAATTTCTGCGTGAATGTGATTGTTGGACTTTCGGCTTAATTTAGATAAAAAATTAATTTTACTGAGTGAAATTATAGTAATGTGAAGCATCAGTTTTTAGGTGGATCTGCTGATCTTCCGATTAATATAACCAGGGACTGCTGTGTGGTATTTAGAAAATGGATTCAATGTGCTTCTTCCTTCTTACAGTGGCATGTCTGCGATGGTGGTAACACCTCCAGCTGCAGCCGCTCTCGTGGCAGTCCAGTATCCCTCCCATTCTGTTCGTCCTGGTTCGTTCACGTGCACGTGAGAATCGACCAAACCAGGCATTATCACGAGCGTTCCCACGTCAAAGACCTGTCAATATAAAATTCCATAGCAGGAAAATTAATTAAGCAAGAATATAAAAAAACATTTAATACAACATATATCTAATATTTTTAATAAATTATTTGTGTAATATTCCTGAAATTTTAATAGAAAATGAAGCAGGTCTGACTTAGGTGTTTCATGGCTTTCTTTAGTCACTCCAGACAGGAATGGGGAGCATAAATATTTGATAGTATTTGCTTGTTAATGAATTAGATTCAATAGAGGGAGGTTCCAAACACTAATTTGTTCACGCCATTGATCAGAGTCCTTGAGAAGATGCACTTGGCTACTCTAGAAATTATCTGCCTTTAACGTGATGCGAAGGTTTATCGCTGTGCTTACAAGGCAACAGCCTCTCATTTGACATTGCCCTGAACCAGATTAATCTAATCCAAATTCTCATACACGAAGCATGACAGCAGAATTTAGTTATCACTAAATCTGCACGTTATTTATACTCACCTCCACATTTTTCTGAAGGGTTTCCAGCTCATGTTTTCTCATTATTCTGTCGATCTTCCCCTCCTGTCCCACCAAAATTCCCGCTTCTTGTAAGCCATCTTCCAGCAAAACCTTCTTACTTCTGAATAACTTTCTCGTGCTCATTCCTGGCATCCTGTTGAATACGTGAGACATTTTCAAAATAATGTGACGTTCAGGACTTTATTTGGGTCAAGACGCCTGTGGGTCTGACAGCTTTATTCACTACTGATTGGGGGGTTTCCTGTTATTTCCAGATCTGAACCGTACATATTTAAGTTCATATTTGTCTGTTCAAGAAACTTCTCGCGATGGAATCCAAAAATTTATCGCCTTCATCAAAAAGACGTCTTGACGGCCTGTTTGTTTGGGGTTCATTTTTACGTGTGTTCAACCAGTTCCTGAGACATCCATCTGATCTCTGCCCATGGGGTTACTTCACGAAAATTAAATGTCTGAATATGTGACGTACTTATTCCAAACTTCTATCAGACTGCACGGTGCTACAACCCAAGAGACAGCTGTCTTATTCCCATTTCAGTCGTATTTATGTGTCTTATAACAGAGACAAATAAATTTTTGGGTTACTTTATACTGAATCACACTTTATTGTATAATTTGTCACTCCGGCCCCCCGTCTGAATTATTCCAATGTCCAGGGTGGGTCGTGATCCACCTTTTCATAAGCGTCGTCTTAAGTCTTAAAACAGTTTTTGGATTGATGTGATGTTAATATACAAAAAATTAACCATTTACTTTCTCACAGGTGGCAACACTGCTTCTGTGCTAACTGTAAAACGTTGCCTTGAAGATAACTTATCAGAATCGGCCATCTGCTTTGTAAACACATGAAACAACTATAAAAAAATTCTATTTTAAGTGTATTTTAACGAAAGTTTGTAATGGATGTTTAATTATGCCCTACTGTAAAGGAATGTTTCCGTTTACGAAGATTTTCCCGGACGCGGAGAATGTTTAAAAGGCTAAAGAGACACAGTGGTACGCTGGTTCATTTCCCGTACGTAACTGTGCCTAAAAAAAAATAATCCGCTCACTTTCTGGTTTTCTTACCTTAAGTCACCAGCGCCGACTCCAAGAACATGAAGATTCTACCGGTTACGAAAAATGCTCGCCTGTTGAGGTAATTCTCAAGCGAGAAGTGGTTCAGATGCCACCGAACGCGCAGTTAAACAGCACACCACGAGCCGACTACAGCTTGCAGTGATCTAAATAATTGACCTCTAAAACCGATGTTACGAAAACGAGTACAGTCGTTTCGCGTAAGGAAAAGAACTTTTATTGGCCGAGTGGTTAGCACTCAAACTTCCCACTCGGACTCAGATCGCTGCCAGGAGACCGACTGTGCTGACAAAAGGTTTTTCGTGGTTTTCCTCAGCATCGACAACCAAGTTCCGGGCTATATCTTAAATGAGGCCTCGACGACTGATTTTATGTAAAGTTGGTCTAAATACTGTGATGTATGGGAGTGCAGCGGTAAAACCTCGTCTGTTGTAGAAGTCGATAGTAAGTTACGGAGATAATATTAACGCTCATGTCGTGTTCCTTCTTCGGGAGAGAGCGTCTGGTGTCCATTGGACAGGAAGTCGTCCATTCTGTGGAAAAGGGTGACAAGCCAGTCCGGCCCTCAACTTGGGTCCGATGTTATTAATGGCCTGTCTTTTGCTGTCATCTAGACGCGTTTGCTATCCTGCGGGGCGCCTACAAAAATCTCTCTGTCCATCCGTCCGTCTGTACGCTTGAACGAACTTTTATGAAATTTGTCATTGAGTACTTTTACGGGGGGGGGGGGGTTCAGCCATTTTGACGACATTGACGGGCAGATTTACCTGAAGAAGGCGTAAGTGTGTTTTTGTGCGCGGATGTTACTGGGTGGGGAATCCCCAGTTGGCGGATTCCCCATAATTGTTACTCTTTGCGTTCATTTCATAACTTGTTCAT